GGGGCAAACGTTGAAATGCTATAGCTCCCCACCCCTTTGGATTTTCGACTTGAGAATTGCGGTGCAGGCTCTAGATGGCATGCACTAACCAGCCATGCAAAAAACAAGGGCTTAGGGCATGCTGAGTAGCTGGGAAAAATAAAAGAAGAGCATGTGCTTTCATGGGGAAACGCTCAAACATTCATACTTGGGGCAAATGTTGAAATGCTATAGCTCCCCACCCCTTTGGATTTTCGACTTGAGAATAGCGGTGCAGGCTCTAGATCGCATGCACTAACCAGCCATGCAAAAAACAAGGGCTTAGGGCATGCTGAGTAGCTGGGAAAAATAAAAGAAGAGCATGTGCTTTCATGGGGAAACGCTCAAACATGCATACTTGGGGCAAATGTTGAAATGCTATAGCTCCCCACCCCTTTGGATTTTCGACTTGAGAATTACGGTGCAGGCTCTAGATCACATGCAAAGCCATGCAAAAAACAAGGGCTTAGGGCATGCTGAGTAGCTGGGAAAAATAAAAGAAGAGCATGTGCTTTCATGGGGAAACGCTCAAACATTCATACTTGGGGCAAATGTTGAAATGCTATAGCTCCCCACCCCTTTGGATTTTCGACTTGAGAATGGCGCTGCAGGCTCTAGATCGCATGCACTAACCAGCCATGCAAAAAACAAGGGCTTAGGGCATGCTGAGTAGCTGGGAAAAATAAAAGAAGAGCATGTGCTTTCATGGGGAAACGCTCAAATACTCATACTTGGGGCAAATGTTGAAATGCTATAGCTCCCCACCCCTTTGGATTTTCGACTTGAGAATTGCGGTGCAGGCTCTAGATGGCATGCACTAACCAGCCATGCAAAAAACAAGGGCTTAGGGCATGCTGAGTAGCTGGAAAAAATAAAAGAAGAGCATGTGCTTTCATGGGGAAACGCTCAAACATTCATACTTGGGGCAAACGTTGAAATGCTATAGCTCCCCACCCCTTTGGATTTTCGACTTGAGAAGTACGGTGCAAGCTCATGCACTAACCAGCCATGCAAAAAACAAGGGCTTAGGGCATGCTGAGTAGCTGGGAAAAATAAAAGAAGAGCATGTGCTTTCATGGGGAAACGCTCAAACATTCATACTTGGGGCAAACGTTGAAATGCTATAGCTCCCCACCCCTTTGGATTTTCGACTTGAGAATTACGGTGCAGGCTCTAGATCACATGCAAAGCCATGCAAAAAACAAGGGCTTAGGGCATGCTGAGTAGCTGGGAAAAATAAAAGAAGAGCATGTGCTTTCATGGGGAAACGCTCAAACATTCATACTTGGGGCAAATGTTGAAATGCTATAGCTCCCCACCCCTTTGGATTTTCGACTTGAGAATGGCGCTGCAGGCTCTAGATCGCATGCACTAACCAGCCATGCAAAAAACAAGGGCTTAGGGCATGCTGAGTAGCTGGAAAAAATAAAAGAAGAGCATGTGCTTTCATGGGGAAACGCTCAAACATTCATACTTGGGGCAAACGTTGAAATGCTATAGCTCCCCACCCCTTTGGATTTTCGACTTGAGAATTGCGGTGCAGGCTCTAGATGGCATGCACTAACCAGCCATGCAAAAAACAAGGGCTTAGGGCATGCTGAGTAGCTGGGAAAAATAAAAGAAGAGCATGTGCTTTCATGGGGAAACGCTCAAACATTCATACTTGGGGCAAACGTTGAAATGCTATAGCTCCCCACCCCTTTGGATTTTCGACTTGAGAATTGCGGTGCAGGCTCTAGATGGCATGCACTAACCAGCCATGCAAAAAACAAGGGCTTAGGGCATGCTGAGTAGTTGGGAAAAATAAAAGAAGAGCATGTGCTTTCATGGGGAAACGCTCAAACATTCATACTTGGGGCAAATGTTGAAATGCTATAGCTCCCCACCCCTTTGGATTTTCGACTTGAGAATAGCGGTGCAGGCTCTAGATCGCATGCACTAACCAGCCATGCAAAAAACAAGGGCTTAGGGCATGCTGAGTAGCTGGAAAAAATAAAAGAAGTGCATGTGCTTTCATGGGGAAACGCTCAAACATGCATACTTGGGGCAAATGTTGAAATGCTATAGCTCCCCACCCCTTTGGATTTTCGACTTGAGAATTACGGTGCAGGCTCTAGATCACATGCAAAGCCATGCAAAAAACAAGGGCTTAGGGCATGCTGAGTAGCTGGGAAAAATAAAAGAAGAGCATGTACTTTCATGGGGAAACGCTCAAACATTCATACTTGGGGCAAATGTTGAAATGCTATAGCTCCCCACCCCTTTGGATTTTCGACTTGAGAATTGCGGTGCAGGCTCTAGATCGCATACACTAACCAGCCATGCAAAAAACAAGGGCTTAGGGCATGCTGAGTAGCTGGGAAAAATAAAAGAAGAGCATGTGCTTTCATGGGGAAACGCTCAAACATTCATACTTGGGGCAAATGTTGAAATGCTATAGCTCCCCACCCCTTTGGATTTTTGACTTGAGAATAGCGGTGCAGGCTCTAGATCGCATGCACTAACCAGCCATGCAAAAAACAAGGGCTTAGGGTATGCTGAGTAGCTGGAAAAAATAAAAGAAGTGCATGTGCTTTCATGGGGAAACGCTCAAACATGCATACTTGGGGCAAATGTTGAAATGCTATAGCTCCCCACCCCTTTGGATTTTCGACTTGAGAATTACGGTGCAGGCTCTAGATCACATGCAAAGCCATGCAAAAAACAAGGGCTTAGGGCATGCTGAGTAGCTGGGAAAAATAAAAGAAGAGCATGTGCTTTCATGGGGAAACGCTCAAACATTCATACTTGGGGCAAATGTTGAAATGCTATAGCTCCCCACCCCTTTGGATTTTCGACTTGAGAATGGCGCTGCAGGCTCTAGATCGCATGCACTAACCAGCCATGCAAAAAACAAGGGCTTAGGGCATGCTGAGTAGCTGGAAAAAATAAAAGAAGAGCATGTGCTTTCATGGGGAAACGCTCAAACATTCATACTTGGGGCAAATGTTGAAATACCATAGCTCCCCACCCCTTTGGATTTTCGACTTGAGAAGTACGGTGCAGGCTCTAGATCGCATGCACTAACTAGCCATGCAAAAAACAAGGGCTTAGGGCATGCAGAGTAGCTGGGAAAAATATAAGAAGAGCATGTGCTTTCATGGGGAAACGCTCAAACATTCATACTTGGGGCAAACGTTGAAATGCTATAGCTCCCCACCCCTTTGGATTTTCGACTTGAGAATTGCGGTGCAGGCTCTAGATCGCATACACTAACCAGCCATGCAAAAAACAAGGGCTTAGGGCATGCTGAGTAGCTGGGAAAAATAAAAGAAGAGCATGTGCTTTCATGGGGAAACGCTCAAACATTCATACTTGGGGCAAACGTTGAAATGCTATAGCTCCCCACCCCTTTGGATTTTCGACTTGAGAATTGCGGTGCAGGCTCTAGATGGCATGCACTAACCAGCCATGTGAAAAACAAGGGCTTAGGGCATGCTGAGTAGCTGGGAAAAATAAAAGAAGAGCATGTGCTTTCATGGGGAAACGCTCAAACATTCATACTTGGGGCAAATGTTGAAATGCTATAGCTCCCCACCCCTTTGGATTTTTGACTTGAGAATAGCGGTGCAGGCTCTAGATCGCATGCACTAACCAGCCATGCAAAAAACAAGGGCTTAGGGCATGCTGAGTAGCTGGAAAAAATAAAAGAAGTGCATGTGCTTTCATGGGGAAACGCTCAAACATGCATACTTGGGGCAAATGTTGAAATTCTATAGCTCCCCACCCCTTTGGATTTTCGACTTGAGAATTACGGTGCAGGCTCTAGATCACATGCCAAAGCCATGCAAAAAACAAGGGCTTAGGGCATGCTGAGTAGCTGGGAAAAATAAAAGAAGAGCATGTGCTTTCATGGGGAAACGCTCAAACATTCATACTTGGGGCAAATGTTGAAATGCTATAGCTCCCCACCCCTTTGGATTTTCGACTTGAGAATGGCGGTGCAGGCTCTAGATCGCATGCACTAACCAGCCATGCAAAAAACAAGGGCTTAGGGCATGCTGAGTAGCTGGAAAAAATAAAAGAAGAGCATGTGCTTTCATGGGGAAACGCTCAAACATTCATACTTGGGGCAAATGTTGAAATACCATAGCTCCCCACCCCTTTGGATTTTCGACTTGAGAAGTACGGTGCAGGCTCTAGATCGCATGCACTAACTAGCCATGCAAAAAACAAGGGCTTAGGGCATGCAGAGTAGCTGGGAAAAATATAAGAAGAGCATGTGCTTTCATGGGGAAACGCTCAAACATTCATACTTGGGGCAAACGTTGAAATGCTATAGCTCCCCACCCCTTTGGATTTTCGACTTGAGAATTGCGGTGCAGGCTCTAGATCGCATACACTAACCAGCCATGCAAAAAACAAGGGCTTAGGGCATGCTGAGTAGCTGGGAAAAATAAAAGAAGAGCATGTGCTTTCATGGGGAAACGCTCAAACATTCATACTTGGGGCAAACGTTGAAATGCTATAGCTCCCCACCCCTTTGGATTTTCGACTTGAGAATTGCGGTGCAGGCTCTAGATGGCATGCACTAACCAGCCATGTGAAAAACAAGGGCTTAGGGCATGCTGAGTAGCTGGGAAAAATAAAAGAAGAGCATGTGCTTTCATGGGGAAACGCTCAAACATTCATACTTGGGGCAAATGTTGAAATGCTATAGCTCCCCACCCCTTTGGATTTTTGACTTGAGAATAGCGGTGCAGGCTCTAGATGGCATGCACTAACCAGCCATGCAAAAAACAAGGGCTTAGGGCATGCTGAGTAGCTGGGAAAAATAAAAGAAGAGCATGTGCTTTCATGGGGAAACGCTCAAACATTCATACTTGGGGCAAATGATGAAATGCTATAGCTCCCCACCCCTTTGGATTTTCGACTTGAGAATTGCGTGTTATGATTAAGGACGGAGTCTAGGTGAACTTAGGAGCTAGAATTACTCAAAATATAAATCCGAAATTCTGGACAGAAAAGTCGTCTTCACAAGAAACGACGTCGACAAAAAACCAGCCGTTGGGATGTCGCGAAACTTCGATATGTTGTAGCTCCTAATCTCAGCTACCGTTCCCAATTTGAATCATGTTGATTGATGAAGTATTCGCGACGCTATGGCTTTCGACGCACTAGGGGGTAAGCTGTAGGAGGAGAACTTAACTCAATCTCAAGAGTTCAATCAAAATTCAAGAATCTCACAAGGAATTAGAAGGAGCAAGAGAAAGGTTGGGATAGGAAGAGATGGATGAGAGGGAAGGTCCCAAGAGAGTCCCCAACCAAGGAAACCCCATAAGCACAAAGATTCCCTCCCTATAGGAACCTCAACTTTGACCTTTGTCCCTTCCCAACCAATCCATCCAAGTTGGCCACCCTTGCCAACCTAGCTTGGTTGTTCCCAACCTATTTGCAGCTGTTACAGTAGAGTGACAAATTTCCCCAACCCCAAAGGTCCCAACTCCATTGTGAGTCACCCCACAACTTCACTTTGTAACCGCCGCAATTGTAACGCAAGCTCAAGAACTTTGAATCTTCATAGCTTTCGCGTTCTTGCTCCGATTGAAGCGATTCTTGTTGCGTCGGAAAGATCTTCTCAAGATCTATCATCACAAATACCTGCTCAGACAGAATAGCACAAAAACACATTCCCAAACTCCAGAACACACCACACACAAATTCTTTCACACGTTCAAACCACACATGCAAGTTGAAAATATGGGATGGGAGGCAGACAGAATGTGATAGCATATGATGACATCACACAACAATCTCCCCCTCTGGCTGCCAACCATCAACCACCATACCAACATCTCAAGCATGCATACTCAATGCACACTCATTCCAGCAAGCTTCATGCCTTTCCAATGATCCGCCTCCGCCAGACGCTTAGTGAAAATATCTGCTGCCTGCTGATGGGTTTTCACGATCTCCAGCCGCACCTCCTTATCAAGGAGTCTCCTCACCCAATGCCACTTAGGCCTTATGTGTTTTGTCAGCCCATGCAGACAAGCATTCTTGGCCAGCTTCACTGCAGACTCATTGTCACAGAACACAACTGTCGGCTCCTCCTGACCAACTCCCAACTCCTCCAACAAACGCCTCAGCCATACCACTTCCTTGGCCCCATGGTGTAAGGCCATGTACTCAGTCTCACATGAGGACAATCCCACCTCATTTTGCTTCTTGCTGCGCCAGCTCACAGCACCACCTCCCAGCAAGCACACATAACCCCCAATGCTGGTGCCATCCGCTTTCACTGAGTTGAAGCTAGCGTCAGTATAGCAACTCAAGAGCATCTCTCCACTCTTCACATCTGCAGCACCTCTCTGCAACCGCTGCCTCACTCCACTGTACTCCAATCCCACTGATGCCGTAGCACTCACATAGCGGACCAACCTCTTGGCCGCTTCCAGCTGCTCATGACTAGGGCGTGAGACCACACTAGCCAACCGTGATGTAGAAAATGCAATGTCAGGCCGTGTATGATTTGCAGCATAATTCAGCGACCCAACCATCGAATGAAACAGCTTCCTGTCACTCTCACCCACTACCTCCTCATCAGCACATGGCTCCACAGTAAACCCTGAAGGTAGTGGTGTTGCTGGCTTTCCCCCATCTTGCAGCCCATACTTCTCAGCCAGCCCCTCACAGTACTTCCTCTGGTGCAACCTCAGCACACCCTTTTCCACATCTCTCTCCACGTGCATCCCCAAGTAGTACTTCACCTCACCCATCTTGGAGCACTTGAACTGCATCTCCAGCATCTGCTCTGCGCTGTCCAGCAAAGCAGTGGATGCAGAAAAGAGAAGGATATCATCCACATACACCAAGAGCATGAGGATTTCATCCTTCTCCTGCAGCAGGAACAGGCTGGGGTCACACTCACTCTTCTTGAAACCCCCAGCCAACAGCGCCTCCTCCAACTTGTGATACCATGCACGAGGCGCCTGCTTAAGGCCATAGATGGCCTTCTTCAGCCTGCAGACCCTGCCGCTCCCGTCATCCAGCCCCTCTGGCTGCTTCATGTACACCTCCTCCATAATGATCCCATTCAGAAAGGCAGTCACAATATCCATCTGCCGAATCTTCCATCCCAGGAGTGCAGCTATCGCCAACAGCACCCTCAGTGTTGTTCCTTTCCCCACAGGAGCAAACACCTCATCATAGTCCTTCCCCTTTGTCTGCTGAAACCCCCGTGCCACAAGCCTAGACTTGTAGCGGGTCAGCTCCCCTTCAGGTCCATACTTGTGCCTGTAGATCATCTTGGAAGTGATTGCCTTCTTTCCAGGAGGCAAGTCACACAGGTCCCATGTCTCGTTCTCAATTAGGGACCCGAACTCCTCATCCTCACTCGCCTTCCACTTCTCCCCATTTGGTCCATTCAAGCCTCCTCTCGAGTCTTGGGCTCAGGGATTGGTGCCCAGTAGCAGTGAGCGATCTCATCTTCCTCAATCTGCTCAACCACACTCCCAGCCTGCACCACATTCGGCTTGCCTCTTCCCCCATAGGTCAGCCTCACTGGAGGGCGCACATCCCTCCTAGGACGCTCAGGCGGGTGTGGAACTCGAGGTGGAGACTCATGCTGCTGCTGCTGCTGCTGCTGCTCTACTTCAGCTGCTCCCCCTTCCTCAGTCACCCCAGACATCTCCTCCTCTGACACTGCAACCTCCACCTGTCTTGAAGGCTGCTGCACCTCATCTGCCTCCACAATGAGCGGTGTAGATGGAAGCTTCTGTTGCTGCTGCTTCCATTCCTTGTAGTACAGGGACTCAAGAAACTTCACATCCCTTGACACTGTCAACTTCTGGGTGGTCAAGTCCCATAGCAGCCACCCTTGTGATCCTTTGCAATCCCCAAGTGCACACCCCATCTTCCAGAAGCCTCCAACTTCCCCCTTTTCTCCTTAGGCACATGAAACACCACCATGCACCCAAATGCCCTCAGCATGTTCACAGCTGGAGCACTCCCATACCACTTGACATATGGGATCCACTCCTTATCTCCAACTGTAGCCAGCACCCTGTTCTTCACAAGGGCGACCTGCCTCAGTGCAGACACCCAAAACGGATCAGGCAGCCCTGCACGCCCAAGGAGAGTGCGTGCCCCCTCCTGCAGGGTCCTGTTGAACCTCTCAGCCACGCCATTCTGCTGCGGGTTGTAGGGCACTGTCAGTTGATGCTGGATCCCCTTCCTCTTCAACTCCCCCTCAAAATCAGCTCCAATGAACTCCCCACCATTGTCACTGCGGATCACCTTCACCTTGTGTCCGCATTCCCTCTGAGCTCTAGGCATCCACTCCTTAAGGACAGCCGCTGCCACCTCCCCCTTGCTCTTCAAAGGGTAAACCCACACTGCCCGAGTGTGGTCATCCACAATTGTCAAGAAATAGCGGCTGCCTGAGAGGGAAGGGGCTCTTGTGGGCCCCACCACATCCATGTGCACAAGTGCAAGTGGGGTCTTGGCTGGTCCTGTAGTGCTGTTGAAGGGGAACTTGGAGAACTTGGTCTCCAAGCATGTAGGGCAGCTCCCAATCTCCTTCACTCCCCCTTTCACCTCCAAGCCCTTCAGGCTCCCATCCTTCACCAACTTCTGCAGCATAGGGAAGTTCACATGACACAGCCTCTCATGCCATGTCTCCCAATCGGCCTCTCCACTCCTTGATGAAGCCTTAGCCCATGCCGCACTCGCATCCACACCAGCAAGCACCTCACCATGTGTCTGCTGCTGCTGCACTTTCTTGACTGCTTCCAGGACCCCATCAGTTGGTGCAGTTGCATCTCCTCCTGCTGTTGCCTTTGCCGCTGCTGCCGTTGCTGCTGTTGGAGTCTTCCCATTCCAAGGGATGATGGGCAGCTGCCACAGGTCCTTGATGCAGCTGGTCTCCTCTTCCAGACTCCACAGCACCTTCTTCCCAAGCTTAGCACGGCAGCTGGTTGGTCCAAAGGTCACTTCGGCCTTGCTCTTCTGCAGTCGCCGCACAGAGAGAAGGTTAGCAGACAAGCCTTCAACCAGCAGAACATTCCCAAGCCCCACAAGCTCCCCATTAGCTCCCTTAACCTTGGCATTCCCAACACCAATGACAGGGAGCAAAGCACCTGACGCTGCTGCCACATACTTGATCTTCCCAGGGGGTTTTACCTCATCAAGCAAATCTGCCCGTGGGGTCATGTGACTGGTGCAACCCGAATCAATCACCCAGTGCGTGAGAGGGTGCATCACAACCTTTCCCACAGATCCCACATCACCCTCATGCCCATGCACATCCTCAACCATAAGAAACAAACCAGGATAGGCATTACCTTGTGCACCTTCACCTTGTGCACCTGAGCCTTGCACAGCGCCACCTTGTGCGCGTTCACCACTGGGCGGCTTCATGCCTGGAGGTGACCATCCCTCCGGCCTGCTGAAGCACTTGAACCAAGGATGCCCACCTTCTTGCAGTACCAGCAGGTGCCCTCCATTCTGGTACTCCCCCTGCCACTGGAGCTCCCATGCCCCTCATTATAGTCACCTCGGCCTCTACCTCTGCCAAAGCTCCTCCCACGGCCTCGGCCTCTCCAACCCCCTCTTCCTCTGCCGCGCCCTGCAGCTCCATACCCCTCAGCAGTCTTAGTGGCAGCACCGCCTCCCACATGGCGTCTGCGGAAGTCCTCCTGCAGAATCTGCTGCCTTAGCCACTCAGGTGTCCATTGATCTTGCTGAGAGTTGAGGGTGGGGATGAGGTTGTCCCAAGAGTTGTCCAACACCGAGATGATCTTGGTGCACTGCTGCAGCTGAGATACACTGCTGCCCGCTGCTGCCATCCTTGCATAGGTGTCCTTGATCTTGTCAAGGACCGGCTTCACATCGTCCCCTGGTCGCATGGAGATGGCAGCAAGTTCCTTCTCGAGCACGATCACCATCGGAGAGTGTTGGGCTGAATCACATCGCGTAGTAGTTTCCACGCCCTTGGACCCGAATCATCCGCTTCCACAAGATCCTTGATGTGCTCGAACATCTCCTTGTTGACCGATTGAAGGATGAGGTCGAAAAGCACCGCGCTTTTCTCAATCCACCGTTCACGTGCTTCGCCTTCTTCCGGCATCTTCTCTTCCCCAACAGCAATCTTCAGTAGCTTGTAGCGTTTGAAGGCACTCCTCATCCGTCCGCTCCATTCCTCATAGTTGGAGCCATCCAAAGCTTCAACTTTTGATGGCGGCGGCTCACTTGTCTTCTCAGCTACAGCTCCTCTTCCATTAGCATCTCCTCCTCTCTCATTCATCTTCTCCTTGAGAAATGACGAATTTCAGCTCCCCTTTGCTGTCCACACTCAGCTCCCTCGATATTTTCACAAGTGTCGGCGTCCACGAAATTTCGGCAGAGTTTCCCCTTAGCGGAAGACACATCCAACCTTTAGAACACCACTTAGGCACACCCACAGGCCATGGTGGGTCTAGAAGGGTCTTCACACTTCTGTAGACTCCTCTCAATGTCCTTAATATCGCTCTGATACCACTTGTTAGGATTAAGGACGGAGTCTAGGTGAACTTAGGAGCTAGAATTACTCAAAATATAAATCCGAAATTCTGGACAGAAAAGTCGTCTTCACAAGAAACGACGTCGACAAAAACCTAGCCGTTGGAATGTCGCGAAACTTGGATATGTTGTAGCTCTTAATCTCAGCTACCGTTCCCAATTTGAATCACGTCGATTGATGAAGTATTCGCGACGCTATGGCTTTCGACGCACTAGGGGGTAAGCTGTAGGAGGAGAACTTAACTCAATCTCAAAGGTTCAATCAAAGTTCAAGAATCTCACAAGGAATTAGAGGAGCAAGAGAAAGGTTGGGATAGAAGAGAGGGATGAGAGGGAAGGTCCCAAGAGAGTCCCCAACCAAGGAAACCCCATAAGCACAAAGATTCCCTCCCTATAGGAACCTCAACTTTGACCTTTGTCCCTTCCCAACCAATCCATCCAAGTTGGCCACCCTTGCCAACCTAGCTTGGTTGTTCCCAACCAATTTGCAGCTGTTACAGTAGAGTGACAAATTTCCCCAACCCCAAAGGTCCCAACTCCATATAAAGTCACCCCACAACTTCACTTTGTAACCGCCGCAATTGTAACGCAAGCTCATGAACTTTGAATCTTCATAGCTTTCGCGTTCTTGCTCCGATTGAAGGATTCTCGTTGCGTCGGAAAGATCTTCTCAAGATCTATCATCACAAATACCTGCTCAACAAAATAACACAGAACACATTCCCAAACTCCAGAACACACCACACACAAATGCTTGCACATTCAAACCACACATGCAAGTTGAAAACATGGGATGGGAGGCAGACAGAATGTGATAGCATATGATGACATCACACAACAATCTCCCCCTCTGGCTGCCAACCATCATCCACCATACCACATCTCAAGCATGCATACTCAATGCACACTCATCCCAGCAAGCTTCATGCCCTTCCAATGATCCGCCTCCGCCAGACGCTTAGTGAAAATATCTGCTGCCTGCTGATGGGTCTTCACTATCTCCAGCCGCACCTCCTTATCAAGGAGTCTCCTCACCCAATGCCACTTAGGCCTTATGTGTTTTGTCAGCCCATGCAGACAAGCATTCTTGGCCAGCTTCACTGCGGACTCATTGTCACAGAACACAACTGTCGGCTCCTCCTGACCAACTCCCAACTCCTCCAACAAACGCCTCAGCCATACCACTTCCTTGGCCCCATGGTGTAAGGCCATGTACTCAGTCTCACATGAAGACAATCCCATCTCATTTTGCTTCTTGCTGCGCCAGCTCACAGCACCACCTCCTAGCAAGCACACATAACCCCCAATGCTGGTGCCATCCGCTTTCACTGAGTTGAAGCTAGCGTCAGTATAGCAACTCAAGAGCATCTCTCCACTCTTCACATCTGCAGCACCTCTCTGCAACCGCTGCCTCACTCCACTGTACTCCAATCCCACTGATGCCGTAGCACTCACATAGCGGACCAACCTCTTGGCCGCTTCCAGCTGCTCATGACTAGGGCGTGAGACCACACTAGCCAACCGTGATGTAGAAATGCAATGTCAGGCCGTGTATGATTTGCAGCATAATTCAGCGACCCAACCATCGAATGAAACAGCTTCCTGTCACTCTCACCCACTACCTCCTCATCAGCACATGGCTCCACAGTAAACCCTGAAGGTAGTGGTGTTGCTGGCTTTCCCCCATCTTGCAGCCCATACTTCTCAGCCAGCCCCTCACAGTACTTCCTCTGGTGCAACCTCAGCACACCCTTTTCCACATCTCTCTCCACGTGCATCCCCAAGTAGTACTTCACCTCACCCATCTTGGAGCACTTGAACTGCATCTCCAGCATCTGCTCTGCGCTGTCCAGCAAAGCAGTGGATGCAGAAAAGAGAAGGATATCATCCACATACACCAAGAGCATGAGGATTTCGTCCTTCTCCTGCAGCAGGAACAGGCTGGGGTCACACTCACTCTTCTTGAAACCCCCAGCCACAGCGCCTCCTCCAACTTGTGATACCATGCACGAGGCGCCTGCTTAAGGCCATAGATTGCCTTCTTCAGCCTGCAGACCCTGCCGCTCCCATCATTCAGCCCCTCTGGCTGCTTCATGTACACCTCCTCCAGAATGATCCCATTCAGAAAGGCAGTCACAATGTCCATCTGCCGTATCTTCCATCCCAGGAGTGCAGCTATCGCCAACAGCACCCTCAGTGTTGTTCCTTTCCCCACAGGAGCAAACACCTCATCATAGTCCTTCCCTTTGTCTGCTGAAACCCCCGTGCCACAAGCCTAGACTTGTAGCGGGTCAGCTCCCCTTCAGGTCCATACTTGTGCCTGTAGATCATCTTGGAAGTGATTGCCTTCTTTCCAGGAGGCAAGTCACACAGGTCCCATGTCTCGTTCTCAATCAGGGACCCGAACTCCTCATCCTCACTCGCCTTCCACTTCTCCCCATCTGGTCCATTCAAGGCCTCTTCTCGAGTCTTGGGCTCAGGGATTGGTGCCCAGTAGCAGTGAGCGATCTCATCTTCCTCAATCTGCTCAACCACACTCCCAGCCTGCACCACATTCGGCTTGCCTCTTCCCCCATAGGTCAGCCTCACTGGAGGGCGCACATCCCTCCTAGGACGCTCAGGCGGGTGTGGAACTCGAGGTGGAGACTCATGCTGCTGCTGCTGCTGCTGCTCACTTCAGCTGCTCCCCCTTCCTCAGTCACCCCAGACATCTCCTCCTCTGACACTGCAACCTCCACCTGTCTTGAAGACTGCTGCACCTCATGTGCCTCCACAATGAGCGGTATAGATGGAAGCTTCTGTTGCTGCTGCTTCCATTCCTTGTAGTACAGGGACTCAAGAAACTTCACATCCCTTGACACTGTCAACTTCTGGGTGGTCAAGTCCCATAGCAGCCACCCCTTGTGATCCTTTGCAATCCCCAAGTGCACACCCCATCTTCCAGAAGCCTCCAGCTTCCCCCTTTTCTCCTTAGGCACATGAAACACCACCATGCACCCAAATGCCCTCAGCATGTTCACAGCTGGAGCACTCCCATACCACTTGACATATGGGATCCACTCCTTATCTCCAACTGTAGCCAGCACCCTGTTCTTCACAAGGGCGACCTGCCTCAGTGCAGACACCCAAAACGGATCAGGCAGCCCTGCACGCCCAAGGAGAGTGCGTGCCCCCTCCTGCAGGGTCCTGTTGAACCTCTCAGCCACGCCATTCTGCTGTGGGTTGTAGGGCACTGTCAGTTGATGCTGGATCCCCTTCCTCTTCAACTCCCCCTCAAAATCAGCTCCAATGAACTCCCCACCATTGTCACTACGGATCACCTTCACCTTGTGTCCGCATTCCCTCTGAGCTCTCGGCATCCACTCCTTAAGGACAGCCGCTGCCACCTCCCCCTTGCTCTTCAAAGGGTAAACCCACACTGCCCGAGTGTGGTCATCCACAATTGTCAAGAAATAGCGGCTGCCTGAGAGGGAAGGGGCTCTTGTGGGCCCCACCACATCCATGTGCACAAGTGCAAGTGGGGTCTTGGCTGGTCCTGTAGTGCTGTTGAAGGGGAACTTGGAGAACTTGGTCTCCAAGCATGTAGGGCAGCTCCCAATCTCCTTCACTCCCCCTTTCACCTCCAAGCCCTTCAGGCTCCCATCCTTCACCAACTTTTGCAGCATAGGGAAGTTCACATGACACAGCCTCTCATGCCATGTCTCCCAATCGGCCTCTCCACTCTTTGATGAAGCCTTAGCCCATGCCGCACTCGCATCCACACCAGCAAGCACCTCACCATGTGTCTGCTGCTGCTGCACTTTCTTGACTGCTTCCAGGACCCCATCAGTTGGTGCAGTTGCATCTCCTCCTGCTGTTGCCTTTGCCGCTGCTGCCGTTGCTGCTGTTGGAGTCTTCCCATTCCATGGGATGATGGGCAGCTGCCACAGGTCCTTGATGCAGCTGGTCTCCTCTTCCAGACTCCACAGCATCTTCTTCCCAAGCTTAGCACGGCAGCTGGTTGGTCCAAAGGTCACTTCGGCCTTGCTCTTCTGCAGTCGTCGCACAGAGAGAAGGTTAGCAGACAAGCCTTCAACCAGCAGAACATTCCCAAGCCCCACAAGCTCCCCATTAGCTCCCTTAACCTTGGCATTCCCAACACCAATCACGGGGAGCAAAGCACCTGACGCTGCTGCCACATACTTAATCTTCCCAGGGGGTTTTACCTCATCAAGCAAATATGCCCGTGGAGTCATGTGACTGGTGCAACCCGAATCAATCACCCAGTGCGTGAGAGGGTGCATCACAACCTTTCCCACAGATCCCACATCACCCTCATGCCCATGCACATCCTCAACCATGAGATACATCCCAGGATAGGCGTTACCTTGTGCACCTTCACCTTGTGCACCTGAGCCTTGCACAGCGCCACCTTGTGCGCGTTCACCACTTGGCGGCTTCATGCCTGGAGGTGACCATCCCTCCGGCCGGCTGAAGCACTTGAACCAAGGATGCCCAACCTTCTTGCAGTACCAGCAGGTGCCCTCCATTCTGGTACTCCCCCTGCCACTGGAGCTCCCATGCCCCTCATTATAGTCACCTCGGCCTCTACCTCTGCCAAAGCTTCTCCCACGGCCTCGGCCTCTCCAACCCCCTCTTCCTCTGCCGCGCCTTGCAGCTCCATACCCCTCAGCAGTCTTAGTGGCAGCACCGCCTCCCACATGGCGTCTGCGGAAGTCCTCCTGCAGAATCTGCTGCCTTAGCCACTCAGGTGTCCATTGATCTTGCTGAGAGTTGAGGGTGGGGATGAGGTTGTCCCAAGAGTTGTCCAACACCGAGATGATCTTGGTGCACTGCTGCAGCTGAGATACACTGCTGCCCGCTGCTGCCATCCTTGCATAGGTGTCCTTGATCTTGTCAAGGACCGGCTTCACATCGTCCCCTGGTCGCATGGAGATGGCAGCAAGTTCCTTCTCGAGCACGATCACCATCAGGAGAGTGTTGGGCTGAATCACATCGCGTAGTAGTTTCCACGCCCTTGGACCCGAATCATCCGCTTCCACAAGATCCTTGATGTGCTCGAACATCTCCTTGTTGACCGATTGAAGGATGAGGTCGAAAAGCACCGCGCTTTTCTCAATCCACCGTTCACGTGCTTCGCCTTCTTCCGGCATCTTCTCTTCCCCAACAGCAATCTTCAGTAGCTTGTAGCGTTTGAAGGCACTCCTCATCCGTCCGCTCCATTCCTCATAGTTGGAGCCATCCAAAGCTTCAACTTTTGATGGCGGCGGCTCACTTGTCTTCTCAGCTACAGCTCCTCTTCCATTAGCATCTCCTCCTCTCTCATTCATCTCCTTCTTGAGAAATGACGAATTTCAGCTCCCCTTTGCTGTCCACACTCAGCTCCCTCGATATTTTCACAAGTGTCGGCGTCCACGAAATTTCGGCAGAGTTTCCCCTTAGCGGAAGACACATCCAACCTTTAGAACACCACTTAGGCACACCCACAGGCCATGGTGGGTCTAGAAGGGTCTTCACACTTCTGTAGACTCCTCTCAATGTCCTTAATATCGCTCTGATACCACTTGTTAGGACTAAGGACGGAGTCTAGGTGTGCTTAGGAGCTAGAAATACTCAAAATATAAATCCGAAATTCTGGACAGAAAAGTCGTCTTCACAAGAAACGACGTCGACAAAAACCTAGCCGTTGGAATGTCGCGAAACTTGGACATGTTGTAGCTCTTAATCTCAGCTACCGTTCCCAATTTGAATCACGTCGATTGATGAAGTATTCGCGACGCGATGTCTTTCGACGCACTGAGGGGTAAGCTGTAGGAGGAGAACTTAACTCAATCTCAAAAGGTTCAATCAAAGTTCAAGAATCTCACAAGGAATTGGAGGAGCAAGAGAAAGGTTGGGATAGAAGAGAGAGATGAGAGGGAAGGTCCCAAGAGAGTCCCCAACCAAGGAAACCCCATAAGCACAAAGATTCCCTCCCTATAGGAACCTCAACTTTGACCTTTGTCCCTTCCCAACCAATCCATCCAAGTTGGCCACCCTTGCCAACCTAGCTTGGTTGTTCCCAACCAATTTGCAGCTGTTACAGTAGAGTGACAAATTTCCCCAACCCCAAAGGTCCCAACTCCATATAAAGTCACCCCACAACTTCACTTTGTAACCGCCGCAATTGTAACGCAAGCTCATGAACTTTGAATCTTCATAGCTTTCGCGTTCTTGCTCCGATTGAAGGGATTCTCGTTGCGTCGGAAAGATCTTCTCAAGATCTATCATCACAAATACCTGCTCAAACAAAAATAATACAGAACACATTCCCAAACTCCAGAACACACACCACACAAATGCTTGCACATTCAAACCACACATGCAAGTTGAAAACATGGGATGGGAGGCAGACAGAATGTGATAGCATATGATGACATCACACAACACCACTCGCTCCTCGTCTATTGCCCAGTCTAGCTGTGAGGTTGAGATCTACTCCGGTGGCATGGCGGCACAGGAGCTCCACTAGCTGACCTTCTTACTCACTGACTTAGATGAGCGGCCTAGCTCTGCCCCAGTTCTGTACGCTGACAACAGGGCCATGATCCTCCTGTGTCAGGAGCCTTGGCTTGAGGGCAGAGCGAAGTACATTCAGCTGCGGTACTTCCTCGTGCGCAAGCTACAGCATCGCCGCCAGGCACGCGTAGTACACTTGGCCTCCGGTGCCAACACAGCTGATATCTTTATTAAAGCACTTGCGCCTTAAGATCATTAGCGGCACTATTTGCAGCATGGTCTAGTTCCTGTAGCTCCTCACTTGTTAGGACCTTGATTTTGTACTCCTCTTTATATATACCATCTTGACTGGCCTTGTGGCTTCTCTTACAGTGGCCGGACTAGTAGTACCGCCCTGGTTTGCTCTTGTCGAGTTTTTACTCTTGCTGACTGGTCTTCAGACCCCTATCTCAGGGGTTGGACTAGTAGTGCCACCCTGGGTTGCATGTTTCTTGTTCAGCACTGCCCCTTACGTAGCCTAGGGGGTGTGTCAACTTATACATTTGACTATACAGTGACGGAAACAACTGTCCGGATGTTTTGCAATAATCATGGTTTTTTAGCTTTCTTACCACTGTATATAAAGTCTTAATGTTTAATGGTGGTACGCTTTGGGAGGGGCACATAGTGGATGTGTTCACAACACAAAAATCCATAATAGTACACTGGATCTAACTTAGTGCCAAAAGATATACAAAGAGTACATCCGGACAAATATTTCCCAGGACAAAGAGCAAACTTTAGCGCACCGTTTCTAGTACCTACTCCACCAACACTTGGCCTTGATTACCACCTGCACCCTCCTAGGCATGTTATCTACGAGGTTAGTGCAAAACTTTACAGGGATCTTCTCGCACTCTTCCTGGACCCACGCTTTTGCATAAGGGGGTGAGCACTAGGAAAATTGCGAAGGATTTGAGCGTAAGCAAGAGTACTGTGAACGATTTCTGACTGAATGTTATCTCTGAGACTAGCCACGATGAGGTGTGGCCAAAGATGCCATAAGTCGATTGATTCCGTCTTATTACGGATCGTCTTCGTCGTACCATTGCAAGGTTAAATTACGAGCAGAGTGACGAAAACTAGCGTATCTGCCATGAAACTTAGGGTAACATAGTACGGTCGACTGTGCACCCTTGCACTATTAGAATGACGCTAGGATCCATAGGTCTGGTCACGGTGCAGTAGTCGAAGAAGCCACGACTTTTCAGGAAGAATATCCGGGTTGAGGTCTGGTGAGGAAAAGGGTCACTCCAGCGCAACATACTCATACTCTCCAAGCCATTCCAAGCCATGTGTCCTGCCTAGGCTTGGAATGGCTTGGAGGGCATGAGTTTATAGCACTCGAGTGACCCTCATCCTCAGCAGACCTCAACCCGGATGTTCTTCCCCACTAGTCGGGGCTTCTTCGACTGCTGCACCGTGACGAGACCCGTAGATTTTAATGTGATTCTATTAGTGAAAGGGTGCATAGTCGACCGTGCTATGTTATCCTAAGTTTTGCGGCGGACACGCTAGTTTTCGCCACTCTGCTCGTAATTTTTGCCTACAATGGTACGACGCAGACGATCCATGATAAGATGGGACTAATCGACCTATGACATCTTTGGCCACACCTCAGCATGGCTAGTCTCAGAGTTAACATTCAATCTGAAATCGTTAACAATACTATTGAACACGCTCAAATACTTCGTGATTTTCCTAGTGCTCACCCCCTTATGCAAAAGGGTGGGTCCAGGAAGAGAGCGAGAAGATCCCTGTAAAAGTTCGCACTAACCTCGTAGATAACATGCCTAGGAGGGTGCAGGTGCTGATCAAGGCCAAGTGTTCGTAGACTAGGTACTAGAAACGGTGCTCGAAAGTTTGCTCTTTGTCCTAGGAAATAATTGTCCGGATGTACTCTTTGTACATCTTTTGGCACTAAGTTAGATCCAGTGTACTATCATGGATATTTGTGATGTGAACACATCCCCTATGTGCCCCTCCCAAAGCGTACCACCATTAAACATTAAGACTTTATGTACAGTGGTCGGAAAGCCCAAAAACCCTAATTAATGCAAAACATCCGGACAATTGTTTCCGTCACTGTATGTAGAAGTTATAGGCTAGATAGGTTTGTGTTCATAGAGGGTACAACTCCAACCCTATTTCATCCCCTGCACTACCTTGTTCTAGTCATTATGCTATTCTAACAGCTAGGACACCGGCAGTTACTCTTGTTCGACTTGATATGCCTCTACAATTGTTATACAAGACAAAGCCATTTTTTTATGTCAGAACCCATTCACTAACCACTGAATTAAAAGGGTCGGTTAATAGCGGGTCATTGCGCCCATAGTCTCCCAGGCTCTGCACCAGTGGCCCTTCCCCAAAGATTTTCTCAAGGGTAACCCCAGCGGGTCTCTCGACACCCCCCTCGCTGGGATAGGCGGAGGACACGAGCGCCTCTGCAGCTCTAGCACTGGGAATTGAACTCGAGTCACTTATGCTCTTATACCATGTCAGAATTTAGTCACTAACCACTGAGTTAAAAGGGCTTGTTAATAACGGGTCAGTGTATTAACGTGAGAAAGATTTACTAAAATGTGTAATACAAGGTGCTTTTGTGCTAAGGGGTTGTACTCTATAGGAGGATGCACCTATCTAGTCTATACGACATATATATATATATATGTGTTTTGACACACCCCCAAGGCTAGATGAGAGGCAGTGCTCGACAAGAGACACAGAGCTCAGGGTGGCACTACTAGTCCAACCTCTGAGGCAAGGGTCCGAAGACCAGTCAGCAAGACTACCAACTAAACAAGAGCAACCCAGGGCGGTACTAATAGTCCAGCCATTAGAGCAAGAGCCACAAGGCCAGTCAAGATAATATGAAAGTAGTACACAATCAAGGTCCTAGCAATAGTGAAGCTCGAGGAACTAGACCAAGTTGTACACAGTGTCGCTGATGATCTTTAGGTGCAAGCGCCTTCGTAAAGATATCAGCTGTGCTGGCATCGGAGGCCAAGTGTAGTACATGGGCCTCGCGGTGCTGATGTAGCTCGCGCAGGAGGAAGTACCACAACGGGATGTGCTTCGCTCTGCCCTCAAGTCGAGGCTCCTCACATAGGAGGATCATGGCCCTGTTATCAGCGTACAGGACCCGGGCAGAGCTAGGCCGCTCACCTAAGTCTGTGAGCAAGAAAGTCAGCCAGCGGAGCTCCTATGCTGCCATGGCATTGGCGTAGATCTCACCCTCACAGCTAGATTGGCCAAGAGAGTGCAGCTCGTAGTCACGCTGTGCTGCTACGTGTAACAGCGCCCGAAGAGTAATCATCTTCGGGGTCGAGGCAAAGGTCTGAAAGAAGTCAACACCCTCGCGCTGTTTGAAGCCTCTAGCAACATAGAGCGCCTTGAATGCCGGCGGCTCTCCAGGAGGGCGCTTTATCTTGAAGAGCCATCGGCCATCGACTACGTTCACCCCAGGTGGAAGAACTGCGTCGATGTAGGTGTCGGTGGATCTCCAAGATGCCATATTTGCGTCCATGGCAGCTATCCACTGAGAGGCCCGGCGTCCCGAGGTTGCCTCCGCGTAAGTGCGAAAGGTCGGGATGTCAAAGGCATCTAGGTCCCCATCAGGAACTAGTAGCATGGAGCAGAGATGAGGCGCAACCTCGGACAGGAAAGCAAGCTCGTACTGCCGGTCCTCCAGGACGTCACTGCCAAGGGCAGGAGCACCCCTGGCGGACAGAGGATGGGCAGGGTCGGAAACCATAGCGGAGGCGTAGTCAAGGTGGCGGGTAGAGGGGAAGTCAGCGACGACAGCGACAAGCGCGTCAAGACTCGAGACAGGAACAGGCGGGTCCGTAACAAGGGAGGCAAGGACTCGAGGAACAAGAGGAATAGCGGCACGAAGGAAGTCAGACAGAGGAGGCGGAGCGACAACAAGCGATGACGAAAGAGGGGAGGATGAGACGCGTGGGAACGGAGCAACTTAGGGTGAGTACGCTGAACAGGAGAGACAGGACGAGCACGGGAGGGATGGCGAGACCAGGCGTCAGACGGAGGTGTGTGGTCAGAAGACGGAGGAGGAGATACAGTAGGGGAACGAGGGGGAAGACGAGCCGAAGACGAGTCTGGTGGAGGCAACATAGGGCCATAGACAAGCAGGGAAGGCGGCGGTGGGGGAGGCGCAGGCGGGCGGTCAGGGGAGGGAAGACCGAGAAGGCGAAGGGCAGACACGAGCAGCGACTGCTGCTGCTGCTGCTCCACACCGACACCAGAACCTCCAGCTGCACCACAGCTACCTCCGGAACACTCCACTCCAGCACCGCCAGGACAAGAAACCTCTCTAGCACCAGTGCCACCCCCAGGACCGCCGGGACGAGCCATGACAAGAATCCCGGGACTAGCACCCCTAGGACCGACACCCCTAGAACGAGAACCCTCTCTAGCACGGGTGCCACCCCGAGACCGCCGGGACAAGCCACGACAGTAATCCCAGGACTAGCAACCTCCTCAACGCCAGCACCCCTAAAACGCATGGACCCCTGCAGCGGCTGCGACTGCAATGTCGGTTGCTGCTGCTGCTGCTGCCGCGGCAACGGCGGCAATTGCTGTGGCTCGACGGCGGAGGAGGAGACACCGGGGTGGAGACAGGCAGTAGAACCAAAGTCGGGGGGCCCCCAGAGTCAGCCGACTCCTCCACCGGGACAACCGACAGGAGGGGAGTGATGTGAGACACACCAGACGGGGCAGGATGGGGAGGGAGAGGAGCAGGGGCTATCAGGGGAATGGGAACCAGAAACAGGGGTGGGGAAACCGGGAGACCTCGGTGGGCAAAGCGGTGGTAGAAGGAGATAGACTCATCAAAAGTGACGTCACGCGAGTGAAAGAAGCGGTGAGACGGCGGGTGGTGTAAGTGCCAGTCAGACGTGTCAAGGGGGAAACCAAGGAAGACACAGGGGACAGTGCGGGCAGTGAGCTTGTCCGTGCCAGAGGCACAAACGTGAGCGAGGCAGCCCCAGACGTGGAACGCAGACGCGTCACCAGGGAACCCGGTCCAAAGAAGGGTCGGCGAAACCTGCGGCCACTGGGAGTGTGGCCACAGGTTAAGCTGGTGGCCAGCGTAGCGAATAGCGAACGCCCACAGAAAATGGGGTGCACGGGCATGGATCATGGAGGTACGAGCCACCTCCATGACCAAACTGACGCGTCGCTCAGGGACCCCATTCTCCTATGGGGAGTCTGGCAGGGTGTACGACTGGGTGATGCCCTCCACACAAGAGAACTGGCCAAGGCGACCGGAGGCAAACTCGCTGCCACGGTTGGAGTGGAGACGAAGCACTGGGAGGCCGCAGTGGACTCGCACAGCTACGACCGACAAGATATGAATGTCAGGCACGTCGGCCTTCCACTCCAGGGGAAACATCATGGTGTAGCGCGTGTAGTCGTCGACAAGCACTAGAAAGTAGCGCTCTCGATGCAGCCCAGGGACGGGGGCTGGGCCCCAAACGTCCACGAGCAGGTTTTGGAGTGGCGTAGTAGTGAGGAGCACGGCGCAGCTGGCCCTCGACGCAAGGCGTACACGGTGGCGCAGTCGAGGGAGGGAGGGCAGGGAGTGACACAGGGAGACCGAAGACAAGACCGTGATGAGACATGTGACACAGACGCGGGAGGGCGGGGTGACCTAGGCGGTGGTGCCACAGCAGCGACGGTTGAGTGAGCGACCGACACGAGCAAGCCGCAGCGATGGAAAGGGAATTGGTATGTGCTATGCATCAGGTGTCCGTTGTGGCATGGCATGCATGGTGCACGCGCTTATAGTCCTTTGAAGCAGACCAGTTTTCTTATGGATGGAGACAGGACTTGCTCTACCTCGGTTGGCCAACTCAACGATCTGACACTTGCGAGGGAATCAGAGGTGGAGGGAAGGAGGAGGAGGAGGAGGAGGAGGAGGAGGAGGAGGAGGAGGAGGAGGAGGAGGAGGAGGAGGAGGAGGAGGAGGAGGAGGAGGAGGAGGAGAAGGAGGAGGAGGAGGAGGAGGAGGAGGAGGAGGAGGAGGAGGAGGAGGAGGAGGAGGAGGAGGAGGAGGAGGAGGAGGAGGAGGAGGTGGTGGAGGAGGAGGAGAAGGAGGAGGAGGAGGAGGAGTAATAAGAGGAGGAGGAGAGTACAGATGGGATGATGCTGCCTAAGCCTTTGACGAAACTGCTAAGGGAGGGGCGTGGACGAGCGAAGAATTGGAGATTGGATGGGGGGTTTCACGCGCCATGGTCTGACCATCCTTGAGTACTCCGGAGGACACACGTGTTTGTGGGTGCATGTGTGCATGAATTCATGTGCATATTTGTGCATGTGTGTGCCTGTGTGTATGTGTATATGTGTGTCTGTGTGTGCATGCGCACACATGAAAACAGAGTAGCTTCGGCAGAGTGAGACGTGGGGAGCAACAATAGCTGCGAATGTACACCAAGCAGCAAAAGAAGCCCGAAGTAAGCTTCCAACAGAATCAGAGAAGAAGCCATACATGGATAGGATGAAGCCATACATGGATACGATGAAGCCATACATGGATATGATGAAGCCATACATGGATACGATGAAGCCATACATGGATACGATGAAGCTGCTGGCATCACACATGAGGCCTTCAGTTTCCCGGTTGAACTTAGCCTCGCAGTCTGCACTGTTGGTCTCAGCACGGTAGTAACTGCAGCAAGGAGGAGAAGACTGATGAGCCAACCGAGCCAGGAGAGGCAATAGGTTAGGTTTGCATGCAACAACTGGTGTGGAGGTAGTGCGTGGATGGATGGATTATGCGTGTCACAACAACCATGCTCGACAGATGATGCGTGTCACAACCGTGCTCGACGGATGATGTGTGTCACAACAACCATGCTCGGTGGATGATTCGTGTCACGGCAACCATGCTCGGCGGATGATGCGTGTCATAGCAACCATGCTCGGCGGATGATGTGTGTCACAGCAACCATACTCGGCGGATGATGCGTGTCACAGCAACCATTCTCGGCGAATGATGCGTGTCACAGCAACCATGCTCGGTGGATGATGCGTGTCACAGCAACCATGGTCGGCGGATGATGCGTGCCACAGCAACCATGGTCGGCGGATGATGCGTGTCACAGCAACCATGGTCGGCGGATGATGCGTGTCACAGCAACCATGGTCGGCAGATGATGCGTGTCACAGCAACCATGGTCGGCGGATGATGCGTGTCACAGCAACCATGGTTGGCAGATGATGCGTGTCACAGCAACCTTGGCCGGCGGATGATGCGTGTCACAGTAACCATGGTCGGCGGATGATGCGTGTCACAGCAACCATGGTCGGCGGATGATGCGTGTCACAGCAACCATGGTCGGCGGATGTTGCGTGTCACAGCAACCATGGTCGGCAGATGATGCGTGTCACAGCAACCATGGTCAGCGGATGATGCGTGTCACAGCAACCATGGTCGGCGGATGATGCGTGTCACAGCAACCATGGTCGGCGGATGATGCGTGTCACAGCAACCATGCTCGGCAGATAATGCGTGTCACAGCAACCATGCTCGGTGGATGATGCGTGTCACAGCAACCATGCTCGGTGGATGATGCGTGTCACAGCAACCATGGTCGGCGGATGATGCGTGTCACAGCAACCATGGTCGGCGGATGATGCGTGTCACAGCAACCATGGTCGGCAGATGATGCGTGTCACAACAACCATGCTCGGATGGCCGGCGGATGATGCGTGTCACAGCAACCATGGCCGGCGGATGATGCGTGTCACAGCAACCATGGTCGACGGATGATGCGTGTCACAGCAACCATGGTCGGCGGATGATGCGTGTCACAGCAACCATGGTCGGCAGATGATGCGTGTCACAGCAACCATGCTCGGCGGATGATGCGTGTCGCAGGAACCATGCTCGGCGGATGATGCGTGTCACAGCGACCATGCTCGGCGGATGATGCGTGTCACAGCAACCATGGTCGGCGGATGATGCGTGTCACAGCAACCATGGTCGGCAGATGATGCGTGTCACAACAACCATGCTCGGATGGCCGGCGGATGATGCGTGTCACAGTAACCATGCTCGGCGGATTATGCGTGTCACAGTAACCATGCTCGGCGGATGATGCGTGTTACAGCAACCATGCTCGGCGGATGATGCGTGTCACAGCAACCATGGTCGGCAGATGATGCGTGTCACAGCAACCATGCTCGGCGGATGATGCGTGTCGCAGGAACCATGCTCGGCGGATGATGCGTGTCACAGCGACCATGCTCGGCGGATGATGCGTGTCACAGCAACCATGCTCAGCGGATGATGCGTGTCACAGCAACCATGCTCGACGGATGATGCGTGTCACAGCAACCATGCTCGGCGGATGATGCGTGTCACCGTAACCATGCTCGGTGGATGATGCGTGTCACAATAACCATGCTCGGCGGATGATGCGTGTTACAGCAACCATGCTCGGCGGATGATGCGTGTCACAGGAACCATGCTCGGCGGATGATGCGTGTCACAGCAACCATACTCGATGGACGATGCGCAGGAAGATTAGTAAGTGGAGGCATGTGAAAATAGCAGTCTCTATGTGGGGCAATGGCCGCTGAGTGACCCTCTCTCTCACACGGAGCCCATGTGAGCAATGGCTGCTGGCTGACCCTCTCTCTCACACGGAGCCCATGTGAGCTAGGGCTGCTGGCCGACCCTCTCTCTCACACGGAGCCCATGTGAGCAATGGCTGCTGGCCGACCCTCTCTCTCACACGGAGCCCATGTGAGCAATGGCTGCTGGCTGACCCTCTCTCTCACACGGAGCCCATCTGAGCAATGGCTGCTGGCTGACCCCCTCTCTCCCACGGAGCCCATGTGGGAATGTCGAGTCGTGCCCTGTGCCTGCGGCCTCTCAGCATTACCTGACACGGACTCGAAGTGATTCACTACCTTAAGCCTTGACGCACGGCCAGGACGGAAAGCGCAATGCCATGGTAGATAGATACTAGATAACCACCAGTCCACCACGCTTCCGTTAGGCGCGTCACTCGCTGTGTGAGCATGGACGGATGGACAGACCTCGAGCATGGACGGGCGCATGGGCCTCGAGCATGGACGGGCGCACGGGCCTCGAGCATGGACGGGCGCACGGGCCTCGAGCATGGACGGGCGCACGGGCCTCGAGCATCGACGTGCGCACTGGCCTCGAGCATGGACGGGCGCACGGGCCTCCAGCATTGACGGGCGCACTTTGGGACAGAATCGGGCTGGGCATTTTGCAGACATCATCTGTAGTACCACCATTTTGTACGGAGAGGTTGCCCTGAACGGCTGGTAAGTCAGGAGAGTATGGGTCGTGACTGACAGTTTGCTACCTCTCATAATCCTACACAACCGTTCTTGGTGTTTCTCAGCGCACTCTAGAACGCAAAGCACCTCACTGAACCTCCCGAAAGGAACGGTCTCGTGACACACGCCGTACGGGTGAATTCCCCTTTGCTGGGCACTGTAGTAAAGCTCCTAGCCACGCTGAGTCGGTGACTGTGGGTGGGGGCTGCCGCTGGTTGATTCGCCTGCGCAGGGGGGAGGAGAAAAAAAGGGAAGGGAATGTGTACACTTTTTCGCCAGTATTGTCTCACGTGCGACTCAAGCCTGTAAGCAGGAAACGGTCAAACCCGGGCAAACGGGACATTGAAGGGGAAAACTCATACTACCCACTATCACTTGGTTACATATTCTCTCTCATGCATTAGACCTCCCAGGTCTGAGCCTCGCAATTGTTGAAATTTGATGTGTTTGTTTGCTATCGTCGTAACTGCAACCAACTAGGTTCATTGTCAACGCGATTCATGCTGAGAACCTGGTACAGGTCGTATTCCTGTAGTCCAAACTCCAAGAATGTAGGAATGAGGCACTTAGCACATAGGGTGGTACAGCCCGAGCAAATTTGCTTGTAGCATTCCCAAGAAAGTAGGAGCGCTGTCGTATACGAAGCTGGCAGGGGCGGGGACGCTGTCGTATCCGCAGCTGGCACAGGTGGGGATGCTGTCGCTAGCTGCGACAGGGTCCATGTAGGCATATCGTGAGGTGTTCGAATGGCGTGTCGACTCTGGGTTTCAGGTGCGCACGCGAATTGATGCGTTGCTATAATAACAATACAAATTTTGACTCCAAACCGTCAATTGAAGACAGATAGACTCGAAACAATACGAAGTTGGAAACAACAAAGAACAATGTAAAACAACGATTAAAAACACCACCATTTCGAAACTACAGCACACGTCGACAAGGAGGAGTACGTGGCGGAACTCCACATGATCCTGCCATCGCAGGTGGCGTGTGTCGATTGGCTAATGTAGAGTTTCCACGTCAGCCCCTGAGTAGGTGTATCGCAATGCTCATCCTTGTTAAGGTTTCTGACAAATTTTCCATCGCAATTGGTCGTCGACCACTCCGGAGTGCATTGACGTGGATCACACGATTTCTACTGGTGGCGAAAAAAAAATCACATGGTGACTGCAACAGTTTCTATTGGGTGGGTTGTATACTTGGGTGTGGCACCTACGAAATAATTGCACATGTAAAATTTTGCGCTAGTCGTTGTTGTACCAATCGCATATGACTTGTGCAGTAGGTGGGTCTGTAATTTGGACTGTTCAGAGTGGAATGATAACGAAGAAAAGGTATAGTAGTGTATTGTTCTGTACTGCACCTGCTGTCCTCCCTCAGTATAGGTATGCAGGATCGAGGTGTGGAGGTCCATTTGCCCCTGGCATGGAGATCCGGCGTGGAGGTGGCCTCCACGCCTGCCCTTCGGGCAAGCCAAAACTGAAACCCATTCGGGCCAGCATGCGCTCGGGGATGGCATCAACCCTAAATACGGGGCCTGTCCGTGATTTAAGGGTTGATGCCATCCCCCCCCCCCCCCCCCCGCATGCCGGGCAGCCTAGGGTTTTAGTTTTTCCTGCCCGCCTGAACCGCGCCACGCCCCCTTTTTCCCCTGCCAGGGTGCATTCCGCAGCGAGTGTTAGACACGAGGCTTTAGCGGGAAGTGCTGAGGCTGGAAAAAAATTGCATCGGGTCTTGCGAAAATCTGATGGCTCCAACCAGTCAGCTGTCAAATTGAACAGCTAACAATGTTGCGCAAATGAACTTCAACCAATCATAAATTCACAAAAAACTGGTGGACTCGCAAAGTTC